ACACACGCATCTATATACACACACACGCATACACACACACCCACGCTTATATATACACATACACCCATGCTTATACACACATATACCCACACGCACACACGCATATATACACACACACATATACACACGTGTATATACCCACACGCACACACACTTATATACACACACGCATATACACCTATACACATGCATATACATACATATACATGCACGCATATATTTATATACACACGCACACACACACACGCATAGGCCTATATACACACACACACATACACACACGCATAGGCCTACACACACACACACATACACACACGCATAGGCCTATATACACACACACATACATACACACGTGCATACACACACACATACACACATGCATATACATACACGCGCGTATACACGCATACGCACATATATATACACATGCATATACATACACACACATACATATATACACACACGCATACACACACACACATACACGCTACGGAGCTTCCCAAAGCACAGACTTTAAAAACAACTCCCAAAATGTCAGGCGTTGGCATCGCGGTGACGCTGGTGGAGCCAGCAGCGGGGGTGACCTGCCCGCCAGCCCAGCCCAGCCCGGAGCCCCCCGTGCCCCAGCCAGCCCACCCCCCGAGCAGCCGCGGGCTCCCTGCCAGCGGGGGCCCCGGGCGCACGTGTAAAGGCGGTACTCAGGGGCAATCAACTGCGGCGCAAAGCGCTACGGAGCTGACTGCTGCACGTGCCGCCGCCTGCAGGGCTATAATTGGACGCGGAGGGAAGGAAACACTACACGACACCGCCTCGCCCCGGCCCGGCGCCGCGAGCGGCCGCTACTCACTGCCCATGCTGGCGGCGGCGGTGGCGGCGGGGGCAGGGCGCGCGGTGCCTCGGGGCCCCTCCCCCCTCCGGGCGCCGGCAGTCACGTGACCCTCAGCCAGGACCCCTGTCCCTGCGCGGACAGATCAGGCAGCGCCGCGGACGCCTATGGTGTGCGTGCGTAGGAGGGGCATGGGGGTGGGAATGGGAATATTCTCTCCCCCGGTCGTTCCAAGCTGAAGGGGAGCTTCAGTTTGAGCGTGAAAAAAAACCAATCTTCCGCTTCGAGTTATTTTAGGGGCCGGCGAGTCAGGCGGCTGCACGACGACTAAAACGGGGGGAGGACCCCGTCCCTGCGGTGGAGACGCGGTCCTAGCTGGCGCCAGCTGCTTGGCTGGAGCCAATGGGAGCGAAGGGGGCGGGCAGAGCGTGTCCGGGGAGGGAGCCCATTGGCTGCGGGGTGGTGTTCGCGTTCCATGGCCGCGGGGCTGGAGCCACGTGGGTCTGTGGGGGGCGCACGTGGCCGGCTGCTGCAGGGAGGGGACCAGGGCGCGGGGTGGTTCGCGCGAGGACGGGCCTGCCGCCTGGGTGCCAGCTTTGGGCTGTGGACTCAGTGTGCAGGACTTCTCCCTACATTCTCCTGGCACCATTTCTTGCCCAACTACAATAGCTCATGGCTCAGTGCTTAAACCAAGCCCCTGCAGAAGTTCGCACACCTCACCAAGGGGTCAGAAGCCCTTAGTTAGAGCTCAGCTTTATCGCCCCTTCATCCTTACTAGGTAGAGCAGGCAAGGCTGACTGGGCTCACAGTGGTCCATTAAACCCTTTGTAGACCGCGGGAGTTTGCGTAAGAACATAACATAAGTTCCATGCTGGGCCATATCCATGGTCCACTGAGCCCAGTATTTGGTCTCTGATAGTAGTAGAAGTGGATGCTATACAGGGAGAACATCAACCTAGGTATCTCTAGAGTGATCCCTATTCAGTACACCCTCTGGCATCCACCGTTTACTGGGTTAATGTACTCCATCCACATACCAGATATAAGACAAGAACAATTTAGGATAAAAAATAGAAAAGTCTTTCCTTTCAATTCAGTCAGAATATAATAAAACTCAGGGGGAAGGAGGAGGGACGGGGAAGAAAGCACTGGAAATGGTGAATAAAAAGCACTGCTTTGTGTAAAGACCTAGGCAAGGTTCTGGGTTTGAACTCCACATTCAGCTGCTTGTAAAATTTTCACTAGTTTGTCTCTCTGAGTTTCATCTCTTTGAACTTAATAGGAGGAAAGGGATTAGGGAGGATGGGGCTGAATCAAGGAGAAAAGATTGTTGTACTGGTGCAGTGTTAAATAGGGGAAAGAGATAGAAAGCGGAGGAGTATGGGGTAGTGTCACTGGGGCGAACTCTGAAGTGTCCCACCTCAAAAGGGGTTTGTAGGAATGTGATAGATGAGTACCAACTCCACCGTCCCTTTGGCACTCAGCACCAGTTGTGAACCAGCACACTGCACAGAGCTGGAGACTCACTGCTCCAGCTGTATCTTACATGCAAAACCGGAGTTGGTTTACCACATAGTAAACTAACTAGATAGCACCTGAAGAATGGGATATAAAAGCAGTAAGTGTTGCTGCTGGTACCCACTACTACAAAAATTTGAATGAAATCTGTCATTGCAATACTCTAACCAGCCTCTGTAAGGAAGACTTGGAAGGGTAAGCATTGCTTTAAACTCATATGTTGCCTGCTGAAGTGACATGTAAGATTCTACAAGTGTTCACCATCTGGACATAGTTTAATATGAGCTCATGCTGGACCTAAATAGCTCAGATCTTATATCATTTTCTCAACCTCATTAGAGTCAAAGCACCCCTCAGCACATGACAACTCTTTGCTTTCACTTTTTTTTTGACCACAGAAAAATATATGGCAAGTCTTCTGTTGCAAAGAACTCGGAAGGACCACAACGGGTCAGAATGCTTTTGACACTATGGATTCCTAGTTGAAATATCCGGGATTCAGTTAGTTTTTGAGGTACTCTTCTACCCTGGCTTCTGCTTGGGTTTATCCTGTGAATCATGTGTAGATGTTTGCACACCTAACAGTGCTAATATTGAACAGCACCCCACACCACCCTTAAAAGCATCTCATGGTGCTCCAGGGTACTGTTGAGAATCCCTGGCTTAGCCTGACAACCAATGTAGAATTAATTCTAAACAAGTGTTAACAGGCTGAGAATGGTGAATGCAAAATTCAGAGTCCTGTTTCCAGCATTGTCACTTATTTTTTTGTGTGATGGTAGGCAGAATTACTTGGTCTCTCTGACTATATAAAATGAGAGACTAACTTCCCTTGGAAATGTTGATGAAATTAACTTGTGAGTTTAAGATGAAAAGCCATTTTAATTTGAAACCACTGGGGTTACTCATTTTTATTGGTTACCAGAGTGCTCTATAGTCTGCTCCAATGTGACCAGAAATGTTTTAATAGAGAAAAAAAAAGAGTTTAAGAGTGAAACACTTGCCAGGGTCTCTTTAATATGCTCCTCTAACCCTCATATCTATCTCAGCCCCACTGAATGCTTTGGAGTGGTACTGAAGGTGTTGCACATGAGAAAAGAGTCATACAAATTTGAGGGACAGAGTTTGGCTTAATATCTTTTTATTCTGTAAATATTTTGTGATTTGAGGGGTTCTCCTGCAGTTTTTCTGCAGGATGCTCACTGATAGCTAGCTTTAGAATTTACTTTTAAGATTAGTTTGGACTTGCATCACAGTACTGAGGAGCTAGAATATAAATCTGTTTGTGCAAGACTTCAATGAATTATAGAACCAAGTACAAAGGCCAAGAAGGGTGTTTATAATCGTAGTACCAAGTACAAAGGCCAAGAAGGGTGCTAATAATCGTATTCAGTGCTCCCAGTACCAGAGATCAAATAATCCAACTTACTTTTACCATCATACTGCTTACCTTTTTTGCTGGTTACTTTTCCCCCCTCCAAAATCTGAGGCTAAGTTAAATTAGCATTCTGCAGCATTTTTTATTCTGCAAGACCTTCTTTTTCAGCAATCCCTTACAGTGGAGGATAATTGTCTATCTTATCTGTGGGTGTGAAGATGGCTCACAAGGCCAATACAGGATAGACAGACTCTGCTGCAACATGGACACATGTTTCAGTGCAGGGTAGGTGGCTCCAGGTTCTCGATTCAGTCCATGACAGGCTGACCAGACACAGCAAGACCATATAGCCAGACTTTGCAGAGATCTGTTATCTCATCAATTGCCATAGCTACAGAATTCAGGACAGGCAATGACTTGGAAATGAAAATAAGGGATGACTAATGGCACAGCCTTACAGGAATACATGCCCAGGAGGATACCTCATCATATTGGTCTTGACACATGGATAGCAGGTGAAAACAAAGGTTGGTGAGCTAAGAAACAGTCATTTTGCTTCATTTGGTCAGAAAACAATGACGAATTCTTCAGAAATAGACAAGTGAAATTTTTGCTGAAGAAGAGATACTGGTTTGGCAGCCCTGGAGGTTGGAAGTCTTTGATTTATCCTGAGAACAAACCCCCCCCCAATTGATGCCCTGCCATTGTCCCTCAAATCTGACTTGGGGTATGGTCAAACTGCAGACTGCAGGGAAGCTTTAAATGAGCTAATTCAGGACCCAGAAGTATTCTATTTGCAGAAGCACATAGTGCAATGTGGGGAAATTAATTCCTGACAATAATTATATTCAAATTAAAGACCAGAAAATTTCAATTTCAAGCAATGACAATGACAGCAACAGTCAAGCAGATCATACTTTTCACAATGGGACCAAAGGTTCTCACCGAGAGTCAGGGTTCAAAGGTGCCATAAAGCGACCTGCTATATTGGGGCACTAGCCCATTTCAGGGTAATGGGAGGCTAGTCATGGTTCTGCAACTGAGTAGTTGGCCCATGACCAGGGTCACCTGAATTAATTCAGAATGCCTTCAATAATGATTTAAATAAACAAGCAGGAATTGTTGATTTAAATTACTGCTTTTCATCTGAATTTGCTTTTGTACTCTTTAGGTATTCTCCCAAAGAAAAGCTCATCCTTGTTAAAATATTTAAGTTTGTAAGCAAAGCTTTACAGTAAATCTGATATTGTTTCCTAACCAGGAAGGGTACACTGTATCAAATGTACATATATGTTTATTTAAGCAAGCACACACATTTCTATGGATTCTTACATTTTTGTGGTTAGAGACTGTTGCATGACGCATCTCTTATTTACCTGTATTCTTAGTCATGCATTGTATCAAGCTGCAGTTGAATGGGAGCTGAAATTTTAGTTACAAATGCACAAAAGTCATCATTTATATATAATTTGTTGGTTAAATACATTACTTGAATGTGCTGGATATCCAAGTCTATCAAAACATTTTGCATTTCAAACTTATTTTTAAACCAAGGAAACATTAACTGTATTTAGTGAATAGACAAGTTGTTTCTTGTTACCAGAGGCAAGATTTTCTAGGGTAGGATCATAGGAAAAAAGGGCTGGAGGGAACCTTGCAAGGTAACTTAGTCCAACCCCTGCTCAAGGCAGGATCATCCCTGACTAAACCATCCCAGCCACGTCTGTCTAACTTGCTCTTGAAAACTCCCAAGGGTGCAGATTCCACAACTTCTCTGGTTAGCCTGTTCCCGCGCCTTCATCACCTGAAACGTCCTCCTGTTCTCCAATCTAAATTTCCCCTGATGAAGTTTGAGGCCATTGCTCAATAGTCCTGTCACCTTTGGCCACAGAGAAAAACCTATCTCCATCCTCTCTGTAATTGCCCTTCAGGTATTTGAAGACTTATCAACCCCCCCCCGCCCCCGCTCCAGCTAAAATAACCCTAGCTGTTTCAGCCTTTCTTTAGAAGCTAGGTAGTTATGTCCAGACTGAAAAGAGGATGTAGGGATCTCAGATAGGATGGAGGCAGACTTGAGAATTCCTAAAGGCAAAATTGTGATCCCCTAAATCCCTGACTCAGCTCCCTAAACTTTCAGGCATCTAAAGTTTTTGAGCATCTCCATTCTGACCCAAAAGTCAGACTTTCTACTAGGACTTTCTGCTTCTGCACATGCCCAGAAATACTCTGGCCTGAGCAGTCAATGTCTAGTTCCCACAGTGTCCCCCACTGGAGTCCAGAAACTAGACAGAGGCCCAAGTCCTCTAAGGAGTCACTCCCGTGGGCATTATCCAAGCATGCCAGCATACACTGACAGAACCAGAACCCCTCATGACATGGAGTTGTATTGGCTTCTTTTCTATACTACACTTGCTGAAGAAGGAGCAGCAGCCTAACTTCTATAATAGTTTGGTTTCTAGAATAGTCACCTTGGAAGTGAGAAACCAGGGTTCAAGTCCCTCCTCCAGGAATGAAAAGATTGAAAATAAAATAGCTAGTGCAGTGTAAGGCAGTATAATGCATCTATAAAGCCTGGATGGTCTTCTAATATTAAAGATGTTTCCCCCTAAGGAAATGTTTATGAAAATCACCCAAGTCACTTTTGATTTCAATGGGATGAGGTTACCAGTTATTCCTGGCTCTGGCTTATGTGGTGGTGATCACAACATGAAAACAGGATAGTTTGATTTGGTTGAAAGGAACAGGCTTGACCGTTGTGCCTACTGCCAGCTCCGCTGTGTGTGATGACCCGCCGTGATACCACTGGGTTTTTATCATGGTCCTCATTAGATTTTTGCTAGAGAGATGGATCCAGGTGGCACTGCCACTTCTGCATTATTCAGCTAAACCCTGCGAGGAGGACACTGGCAGGGTGCTGTCACATTCTTCTTGCCATCTTCCTTCCCTGCCATATTTCTGCTCCTTCTTGTGCATCCTCTTTTGGCTGAGTCAACTAAGAGTCCATCTTTTACAACAGCGCTTTGAGACAGTGAGCAGGAAGGCAGATAAAAGCAGTGCTTTAAGCAGACTGACAATTTCCAGGGCTTAAGCAGCTGGTAAGGAAGGCTATGTTTCTTCGTCAGGCTTACAAGTGACAGTCAGCACCAGAGACAGCAGCTGCAATTTTTACCTTTGCTATCGCTTTCTCTCTGTATGGGTAAGTTTGTCTTATTTTGTCTTTAGGGGAACAGGATTTCACTTCAACAACAAACAAAAAAGACAAGCTCTAGATGACTTAAATTGATTTTTTTCTCTTAAGAAAATTGAACTGAATGCGTCTTCCCTGACCACCTGAGGATAATGATAATGAAATGTCCAATGTGATTGAGCAGTACTTGTCTAACATGAAAAACATCCCTTTCTGTTTACATCCTTTGAAGCAATATGTGTGTGTAACAGGAGTATGGGCCTCTCCTGTCTCACACTCACCCACCATGCCTTGATGTCTTTACTTGCTGGAAAAATATATTGTGGGAGGCTGCCTTATGTCTGCGGCCCTGGTGTTGGGGTCTAAGTACATGGCTCCACCATCCCCTACACCGTGTCCGTCTCCACCCTCTGATCTTAACAGCACTTGGTGGGTCAGTAGATCTTTTTGTTAGGGCTTGTGAGGCTCTTGATTGCCCTGGGGACCTAGCTGTTCAGTCAAAGATGATTATGAGGCTTGTTTCCTGCCTTTATTAAACTGCCAGCAGAGGCATCGCTCGCCATATTAAACCAAAGCAGCCATACACCATGAGGGGTTGGTATCCTTCCCTACCCCAATCTTCCTCTTTCTGGGATTTCCCCTTTGGAGGAGAGCCCTTTTGGCCTTGCTTATAATGTCATGGAATTCCTTAGAGATAGTTTGGGTGATCACATGCCACAAACCTCCTGGGCGCACACAGCCACTAAGTGATTCCTCCCTCCAGTGGGGTTGCTGTCTCTTCAGGGGTGCCCTTCCCTGTTGTTCTTGCTCACAACAGGAGTATGGCCCCACTTCCGACAGCTATTGGCCCACCTCCTTACCCGAGGGTTACTGCCCCTCTAAGGTACCATCTTACCCGGTTCCTATCACCTGGGCTGCATCTCTTCTTATACCATGAGCTTAACTTCTTACTTAAGGCTTCTGTTTGAAACCGCTCCTTTCATTCTCTTTTCGTCTTTCTTTCCTTTTGCAGGTCCAGAGAGTTTGGAGCCCTCAGCATCCTGGGAAGCTCCTGCCAGCCTTACTTGTCCAGCGGTACCTGCCGCGGCTGCTGCTCTGACGTTCCTTGACCAGTGTCTCCTCGCCGGCGCTGGTGAGTATACTATCCCTCATCTTGACCCCTCTTCCGGGATCTGTACTCCACTCTCTGCGGCTGGGCGTTCTCCTCCCCTCCCAGAGTCTCGGCATCCCTCTTTTAAATTTCACTTGCCCCTGACATCATTGTCCGGCATCCAGTTAAAAGGGGCCGTGCTTGCATTCCTTTTGGCCTCGCTGCTTCTTTCCCGGCATCGGCTTAATCATTAGGTAAGTGTAGCAAGGGTGGATTCTGCCACCCTGCTCCGGTGCGTGGTGGGGAATGATTGTGATCTGTGTTCAGCCCATTGTACTCAGTCTGGAAAGCCTGATACATCAAAACCCTGTTATTTTCCTGCATTTTTCCTAAAGTAGCAGGATGTAAATAATAATCTGGTACATTTTAGATGACAGCTGCTCATACTGCAAGTTTTCCAGTGCTCACCTGATTGCCCATTAGCACTTAGTGGGAACAAACTTAAGGAATACCATTTGAAAGAAAAAAAAATACTGTTCCTAATTCCCAGTAATCCATGTTTTCAAAGCTACTTTTCTTTGTAATGTTAATAGTTCAGGGTCTTCCAGCATATAAGAGAGTGACCAAAGCAGTCCTTTAACAATATTTACTTTAAAATGCATTAGCAACCATGGGACTCTTAGAGAGGTTGGCTACCTAACTTTGATAACACTTACCCCTTTAAGGTGATTTTTGAAGCTGGTAAGGTAGACAATGCCATGTAAAGTACAATAAGATTTGTCCTTTGAGTCCATGACTTTAATAAGTAAATACATATAATGTATTCATGTCAGATGAATAATCACTTCAAGTCTTTATTGTTGTGATAGTTTAAATCTGATGGTTGCATGACCTATGTTAAAGTGAAACTTTGAATTAAATTCTAGATAAATATGCAAACAAATACTACTGTGAAGCCTCCATTATTTATGTTTTTAATTTCCTTACTACATATGCATTTCCTTGGATCATGAATCATATATAAGGCACTTTGTTTTGGTTACTTCCTAATCTCATTTGAATATGTTTATTGCAGTTAATGATTTGCTGTATACTGGAGTTTTCCAATACAAAATAATTTTCAAATGAATGTTGAGATACCTTCAGGGCAAGTTAAAATTATACAGGAAAATATTCCATGATGAGTGTCTGAAAAGCCACTAGATGGCCATGTGTGACCTCTTCATTTGAGTGCAGCACTTGGTGCATAAAATCAGTCCCAATCTTGATGGGTGTCAAGTGCTGGTACTTATGGATAAAAATATTCTTAAAACTGTAGAACTAATTTTTGTCCAAACATGTCTCGAATTTAAATAACAGAAGAATGATTTTGTAGGAAAGAGGATACAGTTTCATTGCCCAAATTGTTTCTGCAGTGCAGTATTCCAGATTTTCAAATTTTAATTTAAAATAAAAGATTTCTGGTTATTTCTCACATCCCAAAATTGGGTGGAATTGACATTTTTATCTGACTCAGGGCAAATGAAGACTGGAATTCATCTAAAAGCTTTTGGGCCAGCTATCTTGTTCAAAGGTAACCAGAAGGATAGGAACTCCATCAGAGGTAGATCTAAAGGAGAAAACTTGGAAGAAATCATGTTTTTAATACTTTGGCCAGTTAGCATGCAAACTTGGTAAAAGCAAGGAGTCTGTACCTGAAATAATTTACATAGCAGTCAAAATACTGCCCAGCAGTGGGTAGAAAATAATTTACATAATTTACTGCCCAGCAGAGGGTGGAAATAATTTACATAATTTACTGCCCAGCAGCGGGTAGGAAATAATTTACAGTCAAAATACTGCCTAGCAGTGGGTGATCTTGTGTGGTAGAATCTATATTAGATCACCTCGTTGCCTTATGGAAAAAAAAAATCTGTTTTATAAGCTCGACCAAGCATCAGTATTTGTTTTAACGTTGAAAAAACAAAGTAAAAAAGGCTAAATCCTTTACCCTTAGTGAGCTAGTGCCTGTTGGGAACCCAATTCAGATCACTTGTCTCTTTTCCTGTGCCCTAACCACAAAACTGTTTGATTGCCTCTGTGCATAGGTCTCAAAATCATTGCTAAGAAAGAAGCCCCAGGCACTTGCTCCTGCTCTGCACGTGTTGCCTGCTGAAAAATATTGCATAATTCTATTTTGGAAACACGACTGGAAAAGCCCTCAGGATCTTGGTCTTGGGAACGCTCTGGAGAATTTGTCACGTGGCACTGAGCACCCCCAGCACCATTCTCACGGCAAGTACATGGTTTTCCCCTTGTGGCACATAGAGATCAGCAAACAGTGAGTGGGACTTATTTCTTGGCATTGGTTGTGGGATTGCCACGGAGGGTGTTTAGAGACATCCTGTAATAACTGTTTTCATAGAAGGCACCTGCCACTTGAAAGTTTTCACAAATATTTTTGTTGGCTTGTACAAACTAATAAATCACATGGAATCCATGCAGTCAAGAGGGCTGTATCTAGACAGAATTACTGTTGAGTGGATGTATGCTTGACTGAATAACCACAAGCTAAGAGTACTATAGTTGGTCTGCAAATAGATGAATGCCAGATTTCAAGTGGGGTACCACAGAGCCTTATTTAATATTTTTAATAAAGACTTGAATAGAAAACTTCCTGATGGAGTTTGTAGATGACAACACTGGGGGGATTGTAAATATTTTGGAGGATAAGAGTAGAATCTAAAATAATCTTGATAAATTAGAAAACTAGGCTGCAGAAAACAAAGTAATTCAGCTGAGGCAAAATGTGAGGTGCTGCACCTAAGAAAGAAAAGCTGAATGACTAAATACAGAACAGGAGATAAGTGGCTAGGCAGTAGCAGTGCTGAGAGTTGGCTGGGAGCTTCCATGGGTCACACACTTTGCAAAAGTCAGCAATGGGATACAACTGCAGAAAGGAAGGAGGACAGGACAGGGCAGGACAGGAAGAAAATTGTAAATGCAGTTTAGTTTATCTGACTCCAGTTAGGATTCAGCTGAAGTATTGTGTACATTGCTACAGGGGTGTACTTGGTAGCTGTGTTGGTCTGGGACCAACACGGCTACCAAATACACCCCTGAAACATGGAAGATGCCGAATTTCAGCCGATTTTGGATTTTAAACTTCATTGCAGAAGAACAAGGAAGGTTTTTTGTGGGGGGGTTTTTGCCTCTCTACCTACCATCTGACACCTTCAGGGAAGGAATTCCACCTGTTTTACACATCAAAGAGCTACTCAACACAGCTCACAAAGACACTCTCATGGACCCAGAGGGACAGACTTCCATCTCCAGCTCCCTCTGTGCAAAAATGAAGTTTATTTCCGACCTATGGGGACTTTTTACCATCTTGTACCATCTACACTTTTCCCAGAGCCTGACGAAGGGACTTTGATTCCCGAAAGCTTGCAGAAAAGGACAATTTTCTTGCCATTTTTCAGTTGGTCTAATAAAAGGTATCATTTTGGAACCAAGAGTTCTAGTTTTTTGTATGTGTACACTGCTAAGCACTGCACTTTAGGAAGAATATAGAGAAACTGGAAAGGATCCAGAGGCAAGCAACAAAGATGATACAGGGGTTACAATGTGAGCTTTGTGAGAAAAGACTGCAAGAACTAGGTAGGCTTAGCCTGGTGAAAAGGAGGTTAAGGGCCATGATAGCAGTTTTCAAATCTTTGAAAGGCTGCCAGAAAGAAGAGGGGGAAAATACTGTTCTGCCTCACTACAGAGAGCAGAACACAAAGCATTGGGTTTAAACAGCAGAAAAGCAGATTTAATCTTGGACACAAATTCCTTGTTATCAGAACAGTCAGACGATGGAACAAGCTGTCCAGAGAAGCTGCGCAATCTCCTTTCTTGGAAATTTTCAAGAAAAGGCTGGATAACAGTTTTGACAGAGGTGGTTTATGTCCTGCATTTATGCAAGGGGTTGGATTAGAGGACCCTTGAGATTGAGCCCAACCCCATTTTTATAATAAATCAGTGTTTCTTAGAGAGTACATGGCACGGGGTATGTGTGAAGAAGGAATAGGAAAGTAGAGTGGGGAAGGGGAAATATAGAAGGAGAAAAGAGAAAAAATGTTGAACAACTCAACAATAATTAATTAATTGCTGGAGAGAAAACCATGTGCTTATTGTAGGGTAAAATATTACTTTTTGTATTATGTGTGAAATGGAAGCCTAGACACGCTGGTTTAACAAACTTAAGAGGGGTACATGACCCAGAAGAGCTTGAGTAATATTGTCATACAGAAACCAAATGTCATATAAAGACTACAGATGCCGTACACTATGTCATACAGAAGAATAGGGAAACATTTTAGGGTATAGACTGTCAGAAATTTGATTTAAAATATCCTGTGATTGCCATCTAGGAAAAGTAAATACTTCTCCATGTCCGATTGTTATCTCTGCTGTTTGACACACAACATCCTTTTATTTCCTGAGGGCAAAAAAACAGATGCACTTGCAAGATCATTGTAAGTTTTCTAAAATGGATTGGTTTTATGTATTTTCTATCTCAAAACAGATTTGGGGTGGATGTTTTAAATGACCAATATCCATGGAAGATAAAACTGTTTGCTTGAGGTCATCTCTTCTCATATCGTATTTTTGTGTTCAGCTTAGACTGTGTGGTAGACAGTTTGGGAGCTGAGTAGGAGGAGGAGAGCGAACTAAGAACTAAAGGGTGTCTACGCAAAATGATTAACTACTCAGTAGATTAATCTACCAAGTTAGTGTACTAACTAACTGCGCAGTTAGTTTACTACCTGTATTTATGGGTAGTAACTAACGCCACAACAGACTAATCTACTGCACAGTAAAGCGTCACCATCTACACATGCATACATTTACTGTGCAGTAAATTAGTCTATTGCGGAATTAGATACTACCCATAAATACAGGTAGTAAACTAACTGTGCAGTAGTTCCTGTGCCAATAGAGCATGTGTAAATGCTGGCCAGGAGCAAATTTGCTCCCAGTCAACCCCAAGACTAGGGGGCCACAGGGAACAGAGAACTCCCCAGTCCTGGCACTACTTATTTCCCAACTCCCCAGGAGCTGGGAGGCGAGCAGTGTGGGAATGGGGTAGCTCTCTGCCCCCACCTCTGCCTTGGCACTGTTCAGCTCCTGGCTCCCTGCAGGAGCTGAGAGCCGAGCAGCACTGGGACTCGGGAGCTCCCTGCTTCCCTGCGCAGCTGGGGGCTGACTGGGAACTGTCCCAGTACTGGGGCAGGTCCCAGCCAGGTCTGGGCTGCACAAGGATTTCCTTGCCCAGCCCAGGGGTGGCCAGGAACTGTCCTCCCTTTGGGGCAGCGCCCAGCCAGCTCTGGGCTCTGCGGGGAAATCGGCACAGCCCGGAGCTTCCTCGGACCTGCCGCAGAACTGGGACGGTTCCTGTTCAGCTCTGGGCTGGCTGGGAAAATCCTCATGCGTCCCAGGGCTGGCTAGGAGCTACCCCAGAAGGGAGACAGTTCCCAGCCAGCCCTGGACTGTGCAGGGAAGCCCTGCTGGGCACAAAACTTGTCCCCATGTGCACGAGGTGGGAGAGCTCTGCAGCGGCAGCCATCTCCCAGCCTTGTGCATATCAGGACCCCCCCGATGTGTATGGGGTAAGGAGGCAGTTGCCTCTGCAGCTGGCAGCTCTCCTGGGCCTGTGCAGATGGGGATGGGCCCTGTACTCCCTACCAACCCTCAGGTTAACACCCAGGGAAAGTCTGGAGCTCCCCCTGGCTACTACTGAGGCTAAAGCAAGGTTGGATCAGTCCTGTAGTGGGTGGTTCTCTTTGGGAGCAGATTTGCTCCCAACAGGGGGCACATGTAGATGTGCTCCTAGGAAAGGCTTACTGTGCAGTATCTTACTGCACAGTAAGCCTTTATAGCATTAATTGCCCGAAGTGAATGGAAAGAATTGGGAGTGGTGACTGGGCAAAAACACTAGGGCAGGAATCAAAGAAAGCATAATTAAGACTGGAGGAGAAGCTGAGGGAGAGAGACTGGGGTCAACAGGGTGGTAAGGAGGAACAGATCAGATAAGGAATCAGAGCATTTGGGGGTTGGTTAAGCAAGGAGACTTGAATTAGCTAAGGAGCACTTAGGGGGAGATTAAGACTTGGGAGACTAAAATGGCTCTTTCCTAAGACCTGGGAAAAAGCGAATGGGCCTGTGTGAGCTAGGGCTAGCGAAGAGGCAGGACTGAGACAGGAATCAGTTGAGGAGAAGGGAGCATTATCTGTGACTTGCCCCACAGTATTTAATCTCACCCAGCTCCTGTGCTAGCTCATGGAAGATGTAGGATGGCCAACTACAACTGCTACCTGTTACTCCATTAGCTCTAGTGACAAGTCTGAACAGTGGAATTAAAAGCTGACAACCATGCTCACGGCTTGTGCTGGCTTCAAAATGATGCCATATCATGGTATTGCTATTTTTCTGTCTTGTTTTTTAAAAATCTCTAGGAAATTACAAACAGAAACTCAGAACACTAGCATGGTTATCCACATATCCCCATTGGCACGCATGGTTGAATGGGAATGGCTTGTGCTTTGACGGTGAGCTAAGTAATAGCCATTTTGATTAATTTGATCTGAGAAAATGGCAAGTTGCCTAAAATGGACAAGTGATGTTTTTTTTCCTGAAGAAAATTGCTGGCTTGAGGCTACTGCTCTGCTTCACCTCACCACAGGTTGCAGCATCACTATGATCCTCCAGACTGCTATGCTTTTATGGCTCAAACCCAACGTGGAGGCTCTGTTTACGGTGGTGCGAAAATAGATGAGTTTATACCTCTTTTGAGGCTCTGCTGAAAATGTCGCTCAGGTCAAGGAAGAACACTATTTTTACAGACGAAGTGGCATAGATGCCAGCATTCTCCTGAGATTTAAGTCTAAATTTAAAAAGGGGGAAAAGTGAACTAGGGGGTCTCTTTATTATATAATTCTTTATAAACGCATTGATTTTTTTTTTTCCAGTGAACACACTGATCTCACAATGGGTTTGATTTTACATAATGTAAAAAATACAAAAGGACAGTAAGAATCATCCTCAGTGGGTGCATCTATACAAGACGCCATGTTGCTGTAGTGATGCACTATGGCAGGGGTTTTCAACCTTTTTTGGCATCTGGTTGAGAAGCAGGGAGTCCCCCAGCCTGTTGACGAGCAGCGGGGGTTGGAAGGGGGAGTCCCCTGGCAGCTGATCCACGGGCAGTGGAAGCGAGGGTCCTCCACCCACAGTGGCGAAACCAAAAGCGCCACCGGCAAAACCAGAAGTACCCCCACTTCTCTGCGCCGCATGCCCCCTGTGGCCTTTCCAAGTACCCCCAGGGGTACATGTACCCCCGACTGATAACCCCTGCACTATGGTGATGTAGCTTGTCACTATGGCGACTGTGAGGCACAAACCGTGACACTGACACTATGTCGTTGTAGCAATGAGCTACCTCGCTATAGTGCGTCGCCACGGCACCATAGCTGCTAAAAATAACAATGTGCTGTCATTTAGTACTTCCTAAAGCAAGTACTAAAGGACAGCACAGTAACGAATGCACTGTGGGGGGTACGTGTAGATGTGCCTAGTCGGAGCTGGACAGGCAGGGGTCAGCATAGGTTTGTTTGCATCAGTACATTTAAAGATTTCCCTGCTCTTTACAGAACAGTTCCTGATTTGTTCTTGCCTTTTGGAACTAAAAGGCCTAGTGGTTTTTCCTCCTCCATGCAAGTTCTTTGAAAAAAAGTTATTATACATAGGGAATTGTAGCTGTTTAAGTAGAAAGGCTTTAAGCAAACGTTTTGGTAAGTATGTGTTCTTGTTGCTGCTGATGTAATGTTCCAATGCCCACTGCCGGAGCTGGTAAGGGAGGTCGGCTCACAAGATGGAGCTGAAATTAAATAAAAATTACAATTAGACTGATGACTGATTAGGATTCAGGGTTATACCTTTACATGGACATCTATCACCATAGGATCCAAGTGCCTCATAATACAAAAAAAATATGGGATCAGTGAATCCCACATGGGAATAAATCAGAGCTTCCCAAAGAGTTGTATTTAAAGTACTTAAGTACAATAAAGACCCCAAACTGGCTCTCACTACTAGGTGCTACTATAATATTAAATCAGCAATAGCCTAGGCTGAACATAACATTCATAACCCTGTGTTTATGAACAGAATTAGACTCATTACTAATTCTAGGTAACAAAATAGAAAGTGTCCATCTGTTTCATTTATGTCTAAAGTTATAGCAAATTACTGGTATAGGAGAGAGAATAAGCAATTACACTGGTCTGAGGGTTAAATTCTCCCTCCCCCTTTTAAAAGAGTATATAGTTATGGCTGTTTACAGCCATATTCTTTAATATATATTAGAATATGTTCTTATATAAATAAATAAATAAAACATAATTATTTCATTTTAT